TATATATATATATATATATATATATATATATAATGCACACACTCAAATTAACATATGATTTTGCTTTGAACATCTTTGCATGTTGAAGTCTGGAAATACCATCAAATATGTCAAACTTTTGACTATACCTTTGTATATATTGCCTCGTAATATTTGGTGGTGCATATGTTGTTTATGTAGAAACACTTCAACAGGAAGAAGAAGGTGATTGAAAAGGTAATAGCAGCCTTTTCATATTCCTTAAATCAACAAACTTGTGTACATAGGGTAATATATAAAGGCATGTAGGAAAAGGTTTGTTATGAGTTGAATGGTGAGATGGATTCTGGTTAGGATCCAACGGTCCTGATTCCTCCAAGGTTTGAAGCACGGCTGGCTAGCAGAGAAGTGGAGTAGAGGTTGTTACATCCCCTCTCAAGCTGATGGTTTGGCTGGAAGTGCCGGGTTGACATGCAGTTGTTGAAAGCGGGAATTGGAGAGAGCCTTTGTAAATAAGTCGACGAGCTAATCTTAAGTAGCGATGTGATGAACAGTGAGGTGTTGATGTTGTTTGCAGTCATGAATGAAGTGACAGTCCACTTCTATGTGTTTGATTCTGGCATGGAAGACAAGATTGTTGGCGAGTTGTCTTAATGGAGTATTGTGGGTTTGTTGAAGTCAGCCATGAGATGTCGAATCCATATAAGATTTGCGGTTGCAGATGCAAGAGCGCAATATTCAGTTTCGGTAGATGATAGAGCAACATTTGCTTGTTTCTTAGCGGACCAAGAGATGAGTGTTTTGTCGAGAAAGGCGTAGTAGTTGGAGGTGGATTTGTGATCGGTGGGGTTGTTGGCTCAATCAGAGTCTGAATAGGCTATGATTTGAAGAGTGGAGCGGTGAATGGAAATGCCGACAAATTTTGTTCCATTAATGTAGGGGAGTGTTTGCTTGAGTTGTTGAAAATGATTGTTTGTGGGAAAATGCAATATCCGAGCAAGTGAGTGTGAGGTGTTGGAGGGAGCCTACAATATGGTGATATGTGGTTGGATTTGGGAGAAGGGTGGTGTCGGGTGGAGTGGAAGGTTGTTTGGTTGAGAAAGGATTGAAGACCAGTTTGGAGTTGAGCATGTTGGTGGAGTGAAGAATGTTGGTGGCATATGAGGATTGAGGTAGGTGAAGTCCATAGGAGGTGGTGGTTGCTTGGATGCCGAAAAAGTGAGAGAGAGGGCCGAGATGTTTTATAGGATACTTGGTTTGAAGTTTGTGAATATTCGAGTTAATCAGTGAGGAATCGGTGCTAGTGAGTAGTATGTCGTTATGTATATGAGCATGTAGTGGTGATGGTTGGTACTATGTAGATAGAAGAGGGCAATCAACAAAGCTGGGCTGAAAGCCAAGTGTGTTTAGATAGGAGGAGAGGGTGGCAAACCATTGACATGGAACTTCTTCGAGACCGTACATGGCTTTTTTGAGTAGGCATATTGGGATAGTTGGGATCGACGAAATGGGTGGTTGGGACATGTGGATGGTTTTAGTTAGGTTACCATGGAGGAAGACATTGGACACATCACGTTGAACGATGGGCCTATGATTTGTGAGGTCGATTGTAATGGGGTCGTACAGTTGGTAGTTTGGCTACAAGACTAAAGGTTTCGGTGTAATCATGGCCATGTTGTTTTTTAAAGCGTTGGGCTACCAAGCAGGCTTTATAATGGGAGATAGTGCCATCGACATTGAGTTTGGTGCGGTATGTCTATTTGGAAATTAAAATGTTGTAGTGAGGTGAAGGTGGAAATAGGATCCATTTGCCTTGCAATTGTTGATCTTGGAATTCGGTGGATATTGCTTCACGCCATTGAAGGTGTTTGATAGCAGAGGAGTAGTAGGTTGGTGTGGTGATAAGGTGATGGGTGAGGTTGAGTATTTGACGTGATTTGAGGGATCCGGTTTGAAAGCAAGTTTGCATATGATGAGGGAATTTGATTGGTGGTGTTGGAGTTGGAGATGTGGAGGTTAGAGTTTGTAGTGGAAGGATTAGTTGGGATTGGGTCTGGGGAATTTAGTTTCGGGTTGGGAGAGGTAGGTATTGGTGGTGACGGTTTAGGTGGGTTTGGTTTTGTAGTATGGAGGTTGGGGTCAGAAGAAGACTAGAGGGCTAATGAAAGGGTAAGATGCTCTCGTTGAAGAGGACATAACGAGATGAGCATATTTTGTTGATTGTGGCATCAGTAACCCTTTTGATTGGAGGCATAGTCCAAGAAGACACTTGGTGTGGATAGGGGTGCTAGTTTATGTTGAGCATAGGGTCTAAGCCAACGATAGCAAAGACACCAAAAAATTTTGAGGTGATTGTAGTAGGGGGGCGATGGTGAAGTAGCTCAAAGGTAGATTTGGGTTGGTGGTTGTGAATGGTAGACAGTTGATTAGGTATGTTGTGGTGAGAAGGGTGTCGGCCCAGGAATGAGGGGGTAGGTGAGCGGTGGTCATGATGGTGCAGACAGTTTCGATGAGGTGGTGATGTTTGCGCTTGAAGGTGTCATTTTGTTAAGGGATGTATGGACATGAGTATTGTTATAGTATGTCATGGTGGTTGGTAATGTTCTGCAAAGAGTGGTTCATGTATTCTCCGCCTTCGTTTGTACGGAGAGATTTGGTTTTATATGGGTGTTGATTTTCAACCATAGATTTGAAGTGAAGTAATTTTTGTGTTGTTTCTTTTTTATTGCGGAGAAGATATACCCAAATATAGCGAGTGTAATCATTAATGAAACCCAAGTAATTTTTATAAGATTGTAATGATAGAGTGGGAAAAGGACCCATACATCTGAGTAAATTAGTTCTAAGGGAGAGGATATAGTAGAGGTAGAGATGGAAAATGGGAACTTATCGCTCTTAGCTAGACTGCAAGAATTACAATGCAACTGAGCTGAATTATATAAAACAGGAAATCAAGATGCTATGATGGATTGCGTTCTTGGTGATGAATGACTGAGACGTTGATGCCATAGTCGTGGTATATTTTGGACGGAGACGAGCTAGACAGTGGTTGGCCACATGGAGGTGGGAGGACGCACCGAGTAGAGGCCATTAGCGCATGGACCTTTAATAAGTATGTGGTCTGTTTTTATATTGGAGATGTGGTAGTAATCAGAGGTAAAAGTGATAGAGCAGGAGTTAGCTTAGGCTAATTTATGAACGAAGATAAGATTGTAAGCTAAATTTGGAATGTGGTGAAGAGCGTTACTAAGTTATTCTCCATTGTCGACCGAAATAGTGTTTTCTCCATGGTAATTTTGTTGTTGGATGAGATGATTTGGTTTTGCCATTAAGTGTTCGGTGGCACTGCTGTCGAAGTACCATTTGTTGTTGTTGGATTCATTTTGTTGGTAACAAGCGCTGTTGGCATTTGAAAGGATCTGCTTGACGGAACCAACACTTGAAGGCTTTATGTTTAGGCTTGCGACAGATTTGGCACACCATAGAGGTACGGTTGTTGCGGTTGGAGTTGTTCTTGGGCTGTTTCGGCAAGATGAGCATGCATTGTGTTGGCCATTTGATTAATAGTTGTTTAATCAACCTTTACCTTGACCGCGAGATGCAAATAAAGCTGTGGAGTTAGGTGACACATTGATTGCTTCGTTAGCTGGATTAATTTCTTTGCTGCATAGTAAGGTATAGAGATCGTCGAGTGAGATTTAGTGAAGTCTAGTGCGGATTGTTGTTCTGAAAGGATGATAGGTCGATGGCAATCCATTGAGGGTGTAGTGAGTAATATCTTCCGGATCGAGAGAGGCTCCTGCAGCGGCAAGATTGTCAACCTTCTCCTTGACTTCGGAGAGGTATTGATTCATGGATTTGTTGAGCATATTGAGGTTCCGCAGTTCATTCTTCAAGCGGATGATGCGGGATTGGCACCGAAGGAAGCAGCGAATGAAGCGGATGTCATGAGATCCGGTGATATTAGAGCGAACCGGAGGAGGTTGTAGACAAAATTTCTCTGATACAATGTAGAAACTCTTCAACAGGAAGAAGAAGGTGACTGAAAAGATAATAGCAGCTTTTTCATATTCCTTAAATCAATAAAGTGAACTTGTGTACATAGGGTAACATAAAGGCATGTAGGAAAAGGTTTGTTATGAGCTGAATGGTGAGATAGATTCTGGTTAGGATTGAATGGATCTGATTCCTCCAAGGTGTGAAGCATGGCTGGCTAGCAGAGAAGTGGTTTCAGTTTAGAGATTTGATTTAACATGGAGTTTCTGGCTTGACTTCGCTTTTGTTTTTCTAGCTTTAGTTCGACCATTTTGTCTTGTTTATTTTATGGTGTAGGGATTGATTTATTGTGTAAGTGAGATTCAGCCTTTTTCTGGTTATCCCTAGAAGTTGACATGAATATTTGACTTTGAGTCTATGATGACCGTTGCATGACATTTTGTTACTAATTCATTATACTCGTCCATTAAGTTATGACGTTCTATTTTAATTTGATTCGTATGTATGATTTGAATATGCTTAATTAGAGACCTATAATATCCATTGTTGTTTCTGATGTCTTTACTTCAACTTTATTCTAATGTTTTTGACTCCTAACTCTGTTATCATTTTATTTTATTTTGATGTATATTATGATTTTCTTATATGGGTATTTAGGTGCCAATTATTAATCTCAGGTATTATTGAATAATTTTGAAAAGCATTTACCAATGCTAAGCCGGGGATTTTGTTGAGAGAACCTTGAAACTTCCTCCCCATATGATTCTCAATTATACCTTTGAACAGAGGCAAAATGATCAATTGTTATGAAACTATTTGTTAATGGATTTATGCTAGATAGGCATTGAAGGAATTGTGAACTAGTTGCTTCAGAGGCAAAATTTCGATCGAGTTAGATTGATGCCATTTGGATTTAGTGCTTGAACCAACTTCATAAGAGTTCACAAATATTGAAACCAGAACTGATCCTAATACTTTAGAATTGATTCGTAATTAAACTATATTTCTTGGCTAAGCTCATGCATGGTTCTCGAGTTCAATTACAATCTTGGGCTTTAAATTCTTCTGCTTGATTTCTTTTATGAAAGAAGAATGCATCTTCCTTTTTCTTGGTAATCTCATCAAAGATAAGTAAATTTTCACAATTAAATCTCATTAACAATGAATCAAAATTCAATTAAACAAAATTAGCATAAACATATTATTGGAAGTTTTATGCTCTAAACAATTTGCATGCAATCATGTAAGATACCATACAAGTCTCCCTTTAAACAATTTTAAACTTACATTTTATAAACAATTATTAAAGACGTATTGGATATTTTAGCTTTCTAATAAATTTTGTAAAACATTAATTGTTAGAACTCGTTATATTTCAGTTCAACTTGGTTCTTGGTTTCCTGATTAGTGGAATTAAGAATTGTACCATTATATTGTTTCTACATAGTTTAGAATCAATACTTAACAATCACTTCTGAGGTTTGACTCAAATTAGTTGGTTTGCTTTGGGTTTTAGGGTTTGTTTGGCGCAGCTGCAGATTCTCAGCTTTTCAGCTGCAGCTGCGCTGCCCTGGGCGGGGGGTGTTGATGCGGCGGCGGGAAAGCTGAGGGTCCGTTTGGTGCAGCTGCGTGAAAAATGCTGTGGGCCAGCTGTTTCATGTAAAAATGACCAAATTGCTCCTGTTTGTTAAAACTGTTTTAAATTTTTGATTTATTTATATAAATATGGGTGTAATATACATAAAATTTATAAAAATATTATTTCTTAATTAATTAAATGAAATATATTGTTTTTAATATTCATTTTTATAGAAAATTTTTTAAAAAAAATTTGTAATTTTGAAAACATATATGTTTAAAATTTATCTTTATCTATATATCAATGTATACAAATATTAATTCATCTATACATATAAAAATTTAGAAACATATATTTTAGAAGCATAAAATTAATTCACCATTTTGAATTCTTCAAAAGTTGATATAACTTAGAGCATTTGCATAAATACCACATAATTCTTGTCTCAACATATTAGACACCCAAACTTACATATTTTCTTGGATAACACTCAATTTTTTAACATCATATAGGGCATGGCAATCTAAACAGCTTTCACCTAAATGCAAATAATATAGGACATTGTAATTTGTAAAATGATCTCCCATACCCATCTATAAAAAATTTTAATCCTTAATAAAGTTATTTATTACATCACCAGTGCCAATAAAGTAACTTCTACTACCAAAAACTTGTAAGTTACAATTGTTTTGTCTTTCTAACAAATTGCAAATCAATCACATATTAACTAACGTATTAGTAATTTGTTCTCGAATGACCGTCATTTCAGTCGCACATTCCCCTTCCTTAGTACAAATGGTTGATTGTTCGCTGTCATCTCGTAACATAGAACTACCAATTTGATTTTCAAATGGGTCTTCAACTATTTCCTGTTGGTTTGCTTCGGCATTGAAGAAATCAACTTCATATCGAGACGGGTGTCGCTTAATATAATTGTGTATTGTCATCGTCGCTATCACAATCTGAACATGTTTTGGAAATGGGTAAGAAGACATATCACGTAATATCACCCTTTTCTTCTTCCAGACATCAAATGTCCTCTCGATGACGTCTCGCAAAGAGGAATGCCTTTTGTTAAATACCTCATTTCTGGTTCGTGTAACATTACTTGCTCGTTCAAAATCTTGTATATGATATATAATATCAGGATATGGTTTGAGATACCCTCGCTGCAACAGATAACCAGCATCCACCAAATAATACTTTCCTGTAATTTGTTTAACCTTCATTTTCACATTTTAAAAAAATACAATTAAATATTTCGTGGTGCAACATACCTTGAGGAGGATGGGAAAAGCTATAATGCGGAATCCGTGTTGCACTCTTGAAAATTTTGTTGTCATATGCATTACCCTCCCAATCTGACATAATAAATGTGAAACACATATTAAAGTCACAGACTGCCATGATATTTTGGGTTGGGGTTCCACTACGTTCGATAAATGCAACTTTCTCATCATTTGACACACGTTCATCAACATGTATTCCATCTATCGCACCGATGCAATCCTAAACATGTAGCGTTAGTAATTCATTAATTAATGTCATGCTTTCATGTTAAATTTCATTAATATAAGATTAAATTTGTACCTTAAAGAATGACATGTAGCGTCGATCGTGGCGAATTTCCGTAGGTGTTCGTGAAAATGTTAGATTTGTTGGCTTTATAACTTGTTTGGCGAGGCTCACCAAAACACTCAAACCCACTGAGATGTACTTGCTAATGGTCTCTGATAAGTGCTGTAAGTGTTCCATCGCATCACGCATTGACTCGTTCTGTGATAATATATGAAGAGTAATCGCCAAGACCTCACGGTCAGTCATCCTCATAGACCCATGGAGGCCATGAGATCCACTAACTTCTGCTAGCAGATCTCTAAAAACTTCCTGCGCCATGCGGAACTATGCAGAACATGTTGTGAAATCTTGCGGGATGCCCGACAAGCATTTCTGCAACCCATTTGTCTCCAAAATGTGATGATGTGTAACTAGGAGAACGGTCGATGTATGTGTTGTAGTACTCTACAAACAAGTTGATAGCTGTGTTTCTCCTTCTACGACGTACTTGGTTTGGGTCCATAATAATGTATACTAGACACATTTTGACAAAGAAAATTAAATTATTAAGCTAATCATCACTATGAAAAGAAGTCTATTATTTAACCTGTGACAAGTAATAACACAAGCATTCAGTGTTGATCAGAGTAATGGACTTCTAAGGAATTTTTACCAACAGATTAGATTTTCGCAGTTTTCATAAAGATAGTTATATGTAAAAAACAAATTAAAATGAAAGGTCTCAATCAACAACAGTTCAAATAACCAGGTCTTCTCATAAACTGTTCAAATAAGCATATAGTAAATACTAATGAACTCCATTCAGATTTTCCTGCGCTCATAAAAATGTCGTAGATACGACACCCTTCGTTCTTTGACAATTGCTATGAAAAAATCTCTCTGCACCGAATCTTGAAGCAGCAGCTCGTCATCCTCTGCAATACTCGATCCTGCTCTAAAATTGCCACAACCTCACTAATTGAGGTTTTCTACACTTTATGGGGGGCATCAACGTTTTCTGCACTTTATGAGGGGCATCGTTGGAATAATTCATAAGGCACGATATCTGATTTCTGATAGAAGCAGCTCCACCCTTTTTTTTACCCTCAAGCTTAGATCGCTTCGAGCGGTTCGTGGATTGAATCTCAGTGGAACCTGGACTTGGGCAATGAGGTGAATCATCTGATAAGCTAACAACAACATTGTCCTGTGTTGCACCAAATCCTACATCGCTGGGAGCGCATGCATATTTTCCTGTGGCGACAACACCCCCGAACATCAGGTCTAACTTCTCATCCAAATCGGGTTCAATCCCACAAGTTGTATACTTTTTCGTTGCGGGCACCATCTAGAGAAAAAACCCAAATCAGTTCTACAGCTTGAAAGAGAAATATATTATGGAAATTATCAAAAATTACAATTACTAACCGCGAGCCTTTCTGCCCACCAATCCTCCGAGGCATCTATGGTTCGCTTTATCGGATCCCAACCCAAACCAGTTGAATCACGTTTTAAATCCTTAAAAATTTCCAATCTTTTTTCAGTTGATCTTATTTTTTTTTCATTTTTAGCCTATAGTACTCCCGTCCCGTGGAGTCTTTAAAATTTTTAATGATATTCAGCCAACCTTCTTTACTGAAAATCGTTGTTGGTCTATTGCCCAGTTCTATTTCTTTTATACAAAGGTCGCAAAACAATATTTTGATTTCTTTTTCCCAGAGTGCTGGTGAACCATGTTCTTTAGCCTTACCAGCCATGTTAATACTACGATAAAGCAAAGAAATGAAACACAACAATGACATAATTTAGAAGTTAAGACATGAGTTACATGAGAATCATTCATGGGTGTTGCATCATATTCAATAAAAACAGAAAATTTAAGGAAGCATAAAAATGAAAAAAGTACACAAAATTTAACGTGGTTCGGTCAACATGAACTACATCCACGGCAAAGGAGGCAAACAACTTTATTATAGCACCAAAGAGGAAGATACAAAGCTTTGATTCATACATTACTCCCTACTCGAAACATAAAAAAACCAGCAGCATATATAGAAAACCAAGTGCTGCCATGAATGAACCCCATCCCAGGAATCTGCCATGAATGAACCCCATCCCAGAAAACCAAGTGCTGCCATGAATGAACCCCATTACTCCCTACTCGAAACATGAATGAACCTCATCCCAACATATACAAAGCTTTGATTCTCCCAGATGCACACAGCCCTTCGAAGCCTGCACACAGTAGTCGGGCATAATAGAAAACCGACAACATATCCAATAAAGAGGTAACCCGAAGCAAAAAAAGCAAGTAATCTTGGAATTTGAGCATGAAATGAGAACCTCAAAAATGAGAACCTCAAATAGCATGAAATGAGAACCTCAAATTTAAAGTGCAACATATAATGGAGATTCTTTTCAAGGATATTGATACTCTTATAACTTTTAAGCCTTAGCTTAAGGTCTTATCATTAAGATCTTTTTGAAATTACTTTAAGTCTTAAATTTTCTAAAGTGTCCTCAAATTACTACTCCTAGAGTAGAACCCGAAGCAAAAAAAAAATTGCTACGACGACCAAAGCCAGCTTGCCAAGTACTGGAGCAATGCAAAGCAAGTTAGGTGTAAAGATAACATAAAAATAATAATCTTACAATTGCTTATAGGACCATGCCAAGGTACCAAGTGCTGCCATGATGGATTACACATGTTTTTTACCACTCAATTATGATCTACCTCTTTAAAAATACCTAACCATTATTCAAATGTCATACATTCTAAGGCCACACCAATTCTTCATATCTATAGTGAAGTAGGCACCAAACTGATAGCATGACTTTGCCTATGCAATAGAGATTAACCAAATAGTTAAAGAAATACTATAAGGTTATTCCCCTATAATGAAGTAGGCATGTTAAAAGTATTTCAAACATAATCCATAATTTATGAAAAGTGTTTCAACATATCCATGAATTTCAATTCTCTTACAACAATTCAATGCATTGCACCAAAATATCATCTTGTAACTAGAACAAAAAGAATAATAGTATCAAATTTTTCAGCAACGGGTAATGAAACAAAGCAATGAATATTTTCCAAAGTCAACATTGAAAACTGAAATCGTTAATCCTCATCATTTTTTTTATGGAATAAAGCAATTCAATGCTCAAACTGAAAGCAAGCTTGGATATTCTTTTTTGAATGGTACTTCCAAATGCCCAACAGTTGCAAATCTTCCATAAACAGGTAATGAAACAGGGTTCATTTCGGGTAAGAGTAAAAATAAAAAGTTAATAGGTGCTTGCATTAACGGGTGATTTCCAAAGCTTCCATTAACAATTGCAAATCTTGTGGTTGTAAATCTTCAACCACAAATTAATAGGTGCTTGCATTAACAGGTCCTTCCAAATTGTATAGCAAACCAAACATCGCGAAGCTACAGATTCACCACATAAAAGGAGGAAAAAATAAAAATGGCAGAAACATGAAAGAGATGAGGAGAAAACATCAGGAGCCGCAAAAACGACAATATTTCATTAGCAGGTGCTTGCAAATTTTCAACCACAAAACAATGTCATGAAACACTGCATACATGCATATATGGGTGCAAGAACTACACCTTTGAAGGACAATGCCAATTTGATTCCAAATGTAAGGGCTAATTTTATGTAAGAGAAAAATGAAGAATTTTTTCGTCTTCCAAAATTTCAAGCGAAAGCAAGCTTCGTGAAGCTACAGATCCACAACAGAAAAGTAGGAAAAAATAAAAAAGCCATAAAATGGAAAGAGATGAGGAGGAGAACACATCAGGAGCCGCAAAAAACGACAATCTTCCATTAACAGGTGCTTGCAATTCTTCAACCACAAAACAATCTAATGAAACACGACAGATATGCAAATATGGGTGCAAGATCTACAACTTCGCAAAAAACGCACATCCTTCCTCTCAGATCCGAAAATACGTGGAGAAAATGGCTCGTCTTTACCTGAGCTCTGTCGATCGAGGGACGACGAAAGAAGAAGGAGAAGGGGACGCGAGAGAAGCAGCGGGGAAGAACCTAGTGCAGAGGCGAGAAAAGGGTAAAGGGTACAAATCTTGTGCGAAAGCTGGGCAGTGGGGTTAATGCCGCGGCCCGTTTTCGCTCCGCTTCCGCGAATCTAATTGCCGAAGTCGCGAACCAAACGAAAAACTTTCGCGAATAATCGCGACCAAGGAGCGAATAATCGCGACAAAGGACCGCGAATCGCCTAAAAAGCCCTCCCAAACGGACCCTTAGTCATATTGGCTCTTTTGGATTTTTTGTGCACCCCTAGACCACCAGACGTGTCATTGAAGACCCTGTAACTGTAGGAGGCGAATGTTATTTTTGGTAAAGAGGCGAATTTGCAGGTGCAAGCTACATGAGGGGAAATGATTGATGTAATTGGGTAAAATTGGAAGAATTATGCATTCAATTACTTTTGTTTTGATCACGATGAGCGTACTAGATCCATATTTATAGAATAAGAATTTAATAAAACCATAACACAGGAAAAATACAAAAAAGTTGCAACAACTCCCTAGAATCTAACAACCACTACCACAATAACAGCAATAGCTCCTTAGAGATTGTAACAAAATCATAATAATCTAGCAATTAATTCCCAAAAATTCCGGAAATGAATAAAATCCATATAGGCGAGGGATTCAAAATAATACTCATTAAACTTGCTTGGGTTTTCCAAAGTTGCTGGGAGACTTGTTGATGCCTTTGAGAATCCTATGCAAGATGCTTAGTATCATTCTAATTTATGGCTCTCCTTTTTAAATTGCTTTCGTTCTTTTGAAATACCTTCAAGTTCCTTCTAATCTTACAAAGCATTAGGCTTTTTGTTCTAAGCTTTGTTTCAGTGATCCTTATACCTTCTCTTTTTTTTCTAAAGTTATTAGCCGTGCTTCTGGTGGTACTGATTTATGGATTGTAATAACTAGTAGGGCTCCTAGTGTAGGGGCTCTAGATTGAATTCACCTGGTTCTATTATTTTGAACTAGATGTTATTTTAGAAATTCTTCAGTGGATTCCTTTCAGGACCTCAAACCAATTTCATCTTTGTTGAGGATAAACTTCTTTTTTTTTGGTGGGTAACATTTAGTCTGGTTAATAAAATCCTCGGTAGTTTTTTCCAAGTTCTTGGATTTGATCCTTAACTAGAATATGATAAACTCCCATCTTGTGAACTTTCAAGTTGGCTAAAAAAATTGCTTATTTATTGAATTATGCAAAATCCTTACCACATAAATAAGTATTCCGTTCCTGAACATGACAAATATCCAATTGATTTACTTCTAATTATTCTTGGA